TGACTTTAACATTTTCAGGTAAGTCCCAGCAGAAAACTATTCTCATAATGTGTTGTGGAAATTTTAAAAACAGTAGATGCAAACTTTGAGTCCATCAACCTCCATGAATGTGCTTTTGGTTTGAGACACTGATGTAAATGTACTTAAGGATATTTTTGTCGCTGGAGAAATAATGTGGGTTTGTTCCATAGACTTTAAATATTTTAGTGCTTTCACTTATGTGTGTTTTGTCCAAAATGTAAAAGAGGAAATCCTTTGAGACTCAGATTATTTCAGGAAGTGCCGCAAGGAGAGGTACATAGCATATTTACTAAACCACCGTATTGAAAATGGGTTGTGCTGGTAAATGCTTTCTCCAAAAGGTCGCTGAAAGAAGTGACTTTTAAACCAGTTAACCACATATAATGAACAAAAAATGTACCCAAAATCAATATAATGTGATTTAAAGAGATGACCATTACTGATATTTGAAGATTACAGCAGTTTCCAGCAGGGTTCAGTTGTTTGGCCTCCTATACTTAAACCTGTGACGGGTTCCCCAAGGGCGATGCTAATTCCAGTGACAGAGGAGAGCAGTGAGACCACAACCAAGGACCCCAAATTCTACAAAGGCAATAGGACAGAATGGAAATCATGTAAATAATGCAAGAAAAATGACCTGCACATTTCCCCTTAGAAGCATGTTTTATTATTTTTGTAATTTTGAGGCTGGTATAAGCGCTCATGGTCTTGGTTGGGAAACCTAATGACTTTGCTTCTTTAACTATTTTAAATTATTGTATTTTTAGCTCTAAATGTTCAGTTCAGTTGGCATTTATACAAGCAAAACTCCATTCTTTATCCAAATAAATAAATATTCCAGAAAGAGTTTGTTACTGATTGACCAGATGTAATACATTTTACAGTGTCAGGAAATGGGACATACATGATAATAATAATAATTCATTTACAGTGTATTTCTACAGGAAGCTGCCAGTTTAAATTTCCCCAAACATGCTATAAAAAATCTACAAAAACAAATGAAACTCTTTGTGGACCTACAGTACCACCTTAACCACATCCAGATCGCAGGACCACAGAAAGAATTGCTCTTAAACCAATAAAAGCAATTTCCCAAAAAAACTAATTGAGAACACGTTTCAATACATATGCATGAAAAAAGGATTTTCCGTGCGACTGACTCATACGCTCATGTAATTGATTGAGGGGATGACCCGCTATATTAAATGTTATTTGAGAACCATCAAAACGCGCAAAATTGCAAATTGGCCAGCTTGTATGTGAATTAATACCTCATTCATCATCATTATGAGTTGATAAGTTAATTTAACCATTTCATTCTGTCTTAATGAGCTATAGTTGAATTAATGTCATGTAATATATGAAAGTAACATTTGAACAGAGGCAATGATTTGAGACAAACAGAGCAGAGACTACTTTAGAAGCATAATGGTGGCATAAATCTCATCAGGGCGCAGTTCATGTGGCGCGTTTTGGCTCGTGTTTTGGTGAGGCTGGATGTGGAAACTTCAGATTTCTTTTTAAAAAATTATAAAAAAAATTTTGGCAATATGATGCGTTGGATGAGATTTGATTGATTTTGAATAACAGCCGCAAAAAGTGCAACCCAGCTTTTTAAAAACCATTTATAGCAGCAAAAAGGGGAAAAAAATATTAAAAAGCGACTGCATTTAGTTGGAATAATGTCCTGTTTTGGTGGCGCACACTGGAGCTGCCAGTTTTTTCCCTCATCTGGGTGCTGAGCGGCTGCGTTTTTGGACCAAACCAGGGCTCCGCGCTCGTCTCCTAGTTCCACCTTAAATGCGTTTTGGCCCCGCTTGCTCCCTGTAGTTTAGGTTTTTTGTCCTCCCGCAGCAGCTGTCACCCTGCATTACTCGCAGTCAGCTAAATGAAACATTATTCTAAACATATGCATCGTAATCAGTCCGGTCACACTTACAAGAACACGCGTTAATAAGGCAATCAATCACTCTGGAACAAGCAAGTTGTTCTGTAACAGCTCATAAACAGTGTGTAATGAAGAATTGGAGGTTAGCATGACACGGCGCTGATCAGATAATCAATGTCAAAGATGCGATGAATGTCAGTAAATGTAGTTTTCATGTCGTTTCTATAAAATCCTCAATTTACAACAAGCAGTTCAATTACCCTGAAAATACAGTCAATTAAATAGGGGTGATTGGACAGTAGGGGCAGGATCATCGATCTTTGCATTTCTATCTCGCTGCTGGACATTTAATTTGGTTTTTCTATTAGCACCGAAATAAAGAAAATATAAAATATATTAAACAAGCCCAAAGATTTATTTTCTTGTCAAAAACCATTCAGTGAAGGTGACAGACAGTCTTCTGCATTATGATGAATTCTTCTTTTTTTTTTTCCTTCCCTCCTCTCTCTTGTCTTGCACATTGGATACAAAACTAATCGTGTTATTGTGGGCAGTGTTTTTCTGGCCTCTTGTCTTTTCCTTTCTACACCTCCATCTATCTCGGTGCCTTTGTTGTATGGGGTTGCAGCACCTTCGCTTTAGTAAAGAGCAAGGAAACCTGGTGATATATCACGCCCATATTTGCTCCCCTAATCCTATTTCTTTAATGGGGGACGTTCAAAAAAGCAACTTATCTTAAAGTCCCTCGGGGCCATTCTGGTGTAGGCTATATTTTAACCAAGCGCAATTAACGACAGTATCAGCTTGTATCATTTAGAGGTAATGTAAAAATAATGGTAAATTATAGGGCCGGAATGACCCGTGATGGCAGGCCTCATATTCCCTGTAGCTTTGCACGTAGTTTTTTAATTAATGTTACACTGGCTTTCTATAGATATGCTGCCACGGCGCCTAAACAAGCCTCTAAAAAAATGTCTCCAGTGTTGTTTTAAAATATATTTACCTTCTTTAAAATAAAAAAAATCCAATTTGATGATCTCCTACCCTGCTGTTGCACGTGACAGACTTCACTTTTGGCGTCCAATTTTTTATTATTTTTTATTTTTTTAAATTTCTTTGTCATGTCATTAATGTAAAAGAAGCAGAAATGTGTAAAGATGATTTTTTTTTTTATTTTATTATTTATTTTCCCAAGAACAAACACGATCAATAAATAACATGATTTACATTTCATATTGCACATTTTTTTTTCAAGTTAAAATATTTAAATTCATACAGTCATTGATATTTTAAATACAGAGATATAGAGTTATAACAGAGACCCTAGGGACAAAAGGCCAGTACATTTTCATTTAATTTCAGTGCCTGTTTATCAGCCCTTTCAAAGCCTCTGTTTGTTTTTTTTTCTTCTTCTTCTTTTGAGTGGACCGGAAAGAAAAAAAAAATCTCCATAATTAGTTGTCAATTCAAAAAAAACAGAGCAGATCGTGAATTTTGGATTATTGGTGAATTTACACGCCAATTTATTTCTTTTTGTAGGCTATGTGATGGTCATATTGGAGAGTACATCCAGTGTTTTTAACATTAAAAAACATTCAGCAAGTCACACAAAAATAAATAATAATAATAATAAAAAGAAAGGAATTAAAATGTGTTTGGAAAAAAATAAAATAGCCTACCATCCACATTTTTCTTGGTGCATTTTTCCCCCCCTCCCAAATCAGCTTGTATCAGTAGGACTGTCCGTGATATTTGCAAAAATATTTAACGATTTACACTTCACATGTTTTATAATTAACATATTGGTGATGTCCCAATAGGAACGACTTTAAAGAAAAGGAGGAAAAGAAAAGAGAAAAAAAAGCCATTTTTACAGGCGCAGACAGATTGTAGAAGCCGGTTATTTTTGCCTGAACTTTTCGCCTTTGCTCAGTCCCGTCAGTGTGTGTGTGTGTGTGCTGAGTGAAGAGGTCCTATAGGGATTACACACCTATGAAAATACTGGCTTGTTATAATGAGGTTCAGCAATGTAAATAAAAGAGAGGATATATCGAGGTATTTCCCTTCATCATCAACACACAGCAAGAAAATATAAAAAAATAAAAAAACAATAAAATCAGGGGCTCTTGGAAAGCTGATATTTCCAAGCCTCCATGTGTCACACAGGATCCTCACACAGTGCATTCTGTGTACCAGCAGCACTGTCGCTTTGTTCCAGCTCTTTTGTATGTCTAATGACTTCCCTCCGCGGGTTGTTAGCACTTGACAGCGGGTCTCAAAACGAGGAACTTTCTTACAGTCACGTATTCAAAGGAGCTCCATCTAGGTACATGATTGGCAATTTTTGTCATGATCCTCTCATTATTAACATAAAAATTGACACCAAAAAGACGCGCTGCAAAATTAGATGCACCTTCTAGCTGATTAGGGCTGTCCCCACAGAGCACAGGCTGGGTGTTGGAGAAGATATTGCTGCCAACAAAAAAATAAAAAAAAATCTGAGTTTATTAGGCCTAGTGAAGAAAGATATGCTGCTGGGTAAAAAGGAAAAGAAAAGAAAAAAATATACAGTAGAGCTGCTGCTATCTAAATTTAGATGGCACAATTAGCCCACGTTTGTATTTTAAAACCAGAAGGACAGCATGGCTGGTTGGTCACGTTGGATGCTGGACATGTGAGCCGCAGAAATGTGAACAAGACTGTTTCTAGAAATGAATTTAAAATGGCACACTGACTGAGGCATGAGGACAGAATGAATTAAATAGATGGTTTGTAATTTTTTTTTTTAACCCCCCAAATATGTCAGTTAATTACACATAAAATTGGGTCCAACACGAGGGCACGAGCCTTTACAAAAGTTGTTTACAAGTTGCAAAATTTCCGATGGTTCTGTTTGTTGTGTTTTTCGTTATAAAGAGTCTTTTTGTTTTTTTTGTTAAATTGGATCAGACTTTTAGAAATGAATCTCCGTGTGTGTTGGTGTGTGTTTACAGTGCTGCTGCTTCTTCACCCAGGTGTGATCTTTAAAGTAGGCCTATCATCCCCTAAAGTAGGACTAGAGCAAAATAGGAAACGGAGGCTGCGTGACGAGTTATCTGTTAAGTGAACTTTCTTCTCGTTGGTCTGGTGACGGGACTGAGGTCTTGCTGAGAACAGCGGCAGAATACGGCAAAAATCCACTCTCGGATCTTTGCCCGGAAGCTGTGCAGGTAAAGTCAGCGCTGGCGCTCCTGGAGCCCAGCGCGCTCGCCGCCTGGCTGCTGTGGCAGCTCAGACACGAACAAGGCCCGGTGGCCGACGGCGCGCTCACCGCCGCCGCCGCGGCCGCAGCCGCCGCCGCCGCTGACGCCGCCGCCGAGCTGTTCAGGCCTGCGGGCGACTGGTAGAGTCCCGGGTGCCTGAAGCTGCACAGGAGCTCCGGCCGTGAGTAGGGGTGGGAGAGCGCTCGGAAGGTATCGAGGGGCCGGATGGAGGTGGCGAAAGGTGACGAGGCGGCACCGGTGGCGGCGGCGGCCGCTGCTGCTGCGGTGACACCGACGTGCGGGTAGTAATGCAGAGGCATGTGCGAGTGGAAAGGGTAAGGTAGGCTCCCTGTAGCTGCCGCATGCGTCATCATGTAAGTGTAGAAGCTGGGGTCTGCAGGATGGGGCCAGGACATCGCCAAACGCTGCCTTTTATCCTTCATCCGCCTGTTCTGGAACCACACCTGCACACAGAGTCAAAACAAGGCCCATATTGAAGCTGCCATGTTGTTTTCAGCCTCTAAATTTAGACCTCTGGAGAGTGTGGTTCAGGAGAGACACTGAAACCTGCACTGTTGGAAATGCTGCTTTACAAAAAAAATGCTCCTGAACTGGAGAAATTAAAAACCCACAAATTAACTCAAATAAATTCCTTAAAGTGTTTTTGGTTTTTGCAGGTGAATTTCCACGGATTAGTCTGTGAGTGGGTTGTCAGGCTGCATCATCAGGGCTCTCCACAAACAGCAGCGTGATTTCATGCGCAAAACAAAAATAGCCAAACATCCTGCAACGTTTTATCATCACCTAGCCTGTCCTCTATTTGTGCATTATAATAATTATCTTTGCATAGCCACATCACTGCTGTCTCTGCACGAACACATGCACCCCACACACACACACACACACACACACACACACACACACACACACACACAGGAATGTGAGCCTTACCTTTATTGTAGTTTCGGGCAGGTTTAGCGCAGCGGCCAGCTCACACCGTCTCGGTCTCGAAACGTAATTTTCCCTGTAAAACTCCTTTTCCAGTCGACCGATTTGTTCTCTGGTGAAAGCAGTCCGATACCTTCTGACCTGGTCGGAGTTGGAATTGTTTGATCCTCCCGATGAATTACCGTTCATGTTCGGGAGGGAGTTGGAGCTCGAGTTGGAAGATCCAGAACTGTCTGAAAAACCTGGAAAAACGAGCGGAACCAGATTTGTTATTGATGCTGATAAAATTAAAATAATGCGTTTGTACTTACTGATGTGGGCCTGCGCTTTATTTGACAGCTCAGAGATTAATAGTATCAGTAAAAAGGTTTGCGTAAAATGTGAGAAAATGCGAGTGGAAAAAATACAATATTATATTTATTCTAATAATAATAATTGTAATAATAATTATAATAATAATTGAAATGATTTTTATTTTGTTTTTCAATGGAAAAGCAGTCGGCTGTGATAATAATAAAAATAATCCCTCATGAAATCTAAAGCACAGATCAACACCAAAGAGAAATCTGGAGGATAAAACCCGAATCCTACCTTTGTTGTTTTCCTTGTGCTGGCTCGGGGAGCGATGCGCAGGGCATCCCACCTCCACATCACTGTTAATATCTGATTCTTGCGAAACTTCGGAGTAAATGCTCATTTTCTTCCTGCTCTCCGACGAGGAAATCTCCGCCGACGAAGTGTTCTCGCTGTTGTGGTGCGTACCGAAAAGACTGTCAATTTCAAATTTGCTTTTGGTCGGGATGTCCCCAAGGTTTCCATGGAGAGAAGCCGAAGTTATTCTCGGGCTTAGCCGTCCGCCGTGCTGAGAGTTTTCCAGGGCCTCCAGCACGGAATTTCCAGGCGCGTCTGAGAGCCTCTTCCCGGCGACAGGACTGTGCAGACCTCTCTCCATCAATATCATCTCTTTTCTTATCCTCTCCATCATTAAGCCGCGCGAAAAAAAAAGAGAGGGGTGGAAAATAAAAAAAATAAATAAATAAAAAAATAAAAACACAGCACCAAGCAGCAGCAGCACCAGCAGCAGCAGCACCACCACGCTTGTCCAGGGGGGCTGGAGCACCAATGAGTTGTGTCGGAGCTTAAATCCGCATGCAACTCAGCGACTGTGTCTAAATAACTGTCTGTAAAGCTTTTTATAAGCAAGACGCAAAAATGAAAAGAATCTGAATGCAATCGACGAGCGACTGCTCAGAACGAGCCGTGCATCCTCCCCGGCAGCAGCAGAAAATGTCATTCATCAAAAAGTGGTTGCTGTTCGTTGTTAAAATGCTCGGCTGACGTTGCTCCAATGATCATTTATTGTAACAGGTTTATAAGCAAATAAATAGGAGAGGGCTGTCACTTGATGATGGAGGCGGCCTTCGGTCAGACGAATAATATCCAAGTGGAGAGGAAGAGAGGAGTGAGGAGCGAGGTGCTTGTCCCTGGGTTGATCTCTGAGTCTGTTTTAGATTGCTCTTGGGTTTGGCCTCTTGGGTGAAATTGACAGTCTGATTAATAAAATGAGCGGAGCAACATTTCCCTCTTCATTTAGGAATATTATTATGCTTTGATTCTCTATTGTTTGCCTCCTCTCTCTTCGCCCTCCCCCTCTGTAATCGTTGTTCTTTTATTTATCCCTCTTATTTCCCCTCTCTTTCTCTTTTTTTTTCTTCTTTTTTTTTGGTGCCATTTCTGCGACTTAATCAGTATATGAAGTGCAATGAGATTAAGGTACACGACTGTGACAAGAGATTAACAGTATTATTTTTCACTTATCGAGACCATGATGAGCTTTTTTCCTTCTTTTGTTTTTTCTTCTTTTTTTGATTCTTTAATGGCTTATTTTGATTTGCACATATTACGCACATTATCACACATTTGCCGACATCATATAACACCACACAGACATGCATATATTTATTAATACGCAGAATAAAGCTTATGTATATATAAAGGAAGGCCACTTTTAACATATTTAAATATCTTTGTGTTATTTTAGATTTTGATGATCACACTTTCACTCATTGGAATTTCGTTGCAGCTTATTTTTTGCGTTTTCTTTCAATTTGCTTTTATGCTGCATTTAACTGAATTACTCAGATTTAATATTTTGTACATGAATATTTGGCTTTTTTTCATAGAATCTGGTCATTTTGGTCTCATTTGAGCGTCAGTCCCTGAACAAAACCTTCCACTACATGCATGGTAGTGTTTGCTGTTTCTAAGAAAAATGACATGCATCTCACACATTAACTCGATATGTAAAGACAAAACAGCCATGCATGGACTCCCAGTTTCTCCATGTGAGAAGACTTGGAGGGGCAGCATCAGATTTTTTTTCCTCTGTGCGTCCTCTGGCGCCTCCTGCAGGTTTTTCTTATGTATTGCTGAGCTTCATGCTAAGCTGTTGAATAGGAGGCTGGAGCTGTGGTTTACCTGATGGACTCACATGTGTTTGTCCTCCACTTCAGCAGCATTTCATGGTAGCATGGTGGTGGAATTGATGATGTTAATGAGTGGACTTCGAAAGCCAGTTTGGAGGAACTGGTGGCAGCTGTAAATCCAACATCTCCAACCTCGCAGTGTTTGTGCTGCTTTTGCAATCCTGATGGATATAATGGAGTTAACTGAGAACACAGTGATGTGCTGCAGTGCCCTGTGGGGTAACATACAATGTGAGACTGAATAGTGACATGCTGCACTGCAAAAGGCCTGAGATGCAGAATTATTAAGCAATTGAGTAATTATAAAGTTAGATTTTTCCTTATTAACAAAGCAATGTGCAGCTAATTTAGATATATTTTAACCCACTTAATAATTTGTTTAGAAGACGGTTTTTGTAAATCAGTGTAAATTTGTTTTTAAAAAATGTTTTGCAGCTTGCAGGAGAAGACCATTTAATTAAATGTGCACAGAATTAAATAAAATATAGGTGAAGCACATCCAATATTTTGTTCATGGACACTATGTTTTGTAAAGTAAAAATGTTTGTAGGCTTGATTGCATTTTGTTTTGATCTTTCATCAGATGAAAATAGAGCTTCATCTTAAAAGATAGTCTGCAAACAGTGAGAAAATGTATAATGTGTTATTATTTTTGAGAAAAACAGGCCAAATATTGCTCTTTTTGTGGCCTGCCATAGGAAATAAACATATCACTGCTGCTCATCTTGTTCTTGTTTGATTAAACGTATCCAGTCATGTTGTTAAGTTCAGGTTTTAATATAATGTCATCTTATCATAGGAGTACAATATAGGCATCATTGTCTTTACTGGTTGAATAATGGGTCTTTAAATAAGCAGAATTCTGCTTTAAAGTTCCAGCTAGCATACCCACTTGTCAACTTCATGATTTCCTTTCCTGAGACAAGTATATGTTTCTGTTATTATTACTATTATCCAACCGTGACACAGCATTTTAGTGGGGGAGTCTCTCCCTCACTCTTCTGCTACATTTATACTTGGACAAGAAGTGTTTCATGGATGACTTGAAGTGGCTCTCAAGCTGTTCGTCAGAGGCAGATTCAAGGCACAGATGCATATGTTATGCTCTTCAGTTAAAGCGTGCAGCTGCACCGAGAACACAAGTCAATCACGCTGACTTTACCTATACACGTGTTCAAAACATTTGGGATTTATAAATAGAAAGCTGCCTTTTTTTTGTGCAGGGTCTGCCGAGGTGAAGAGCAGTCGTGCTGATGAAAGATTACACGGTTTCTCAGCACTAATACTAAGAATTTCTTTTTCTGTATCCCACAGTTATCCTTCTCTGTCATGTGAAGCCACCATCTGCAAAGTTTGCTGTTAAGCCTTCACAAAATGCTGCTAGTGTCTGCAAATGAGATGTTCACTTGGGAGAAGTGCAGCGGGGTTGGGCGAACAGCTTCTTGACGTGTTCTCAGTTGACTACTCTCCTCATTCATAGGTGATTAAGGCCACAGATTTAAGATACAAAGGTGAAGATAGGAAGAAAAGAGACATAGTCAGAGGTGTTGAGGTCATTGTCAGTGACCTGTCACTGCTCCCTCTGGATATTTCACTGTGGTAGTGAAGTTGTCATTTGTTCCTGTGTATTCTGGAGTTGACACTATGGGGAAACAAGACTCAAGCAATTCAAGTTCATTTATTTTTGTTCCTGTACAAATAAACAAGCAAAAACAATACACGACATATGTACCTTAAGATTCTTCATTGATGTCTATAAATCTAAGTGTAAAGCACAGAAGCGCGTAAATACAGAAACATAGCCATGCCTTTTATTTAGCTTCATTTTATTTTCTTTATAAAAACAATATACATGATTCAACATAAATGTGCCAGTTCAGATATCTGATCTTTAGTTGCAGTATGCTCTAAAACCAATAAAGAAACATGACTGTAAGACTCCAAAGTAGCAACAATAATACCAGAAAGAAGAGAAAACACTGATGTAACAAAAAAAAACCCAAAAACCCCAGCATGCATTATGAAGTATAAGTAATACTGCAGGCCAATGCAAAGCAGTAAAAAAAGCACAATTGAGCAACACAGCACAGAGACAGAGGTAAACAGTGAGATCAGATTGACCAAAATCCAAACAGTTAAACTGAAACTGAATAAAATATCTGTCCTGGTGAGAGATTTGATTAAATATCCATCAGATGAGGCCTCTCAGAGAATTCAGCATCACATTCAAAGTGAGCTAAACAACCCACAAGTAGAGAAATCTTACCAGGCAAAGAGCTGCAGTGAGTTGAAGAAGCTAAAAAACCTCACAAATATAGGCCAACATAGATTACATTATATTTAAAGAACAAAATTATCACTGCCTTTTAATTTGAGGCAAGAATTGAGAAACTCAGGGGGCTTCTCAGTGTTAATAAGCCAGCTAATGGATGACAAAGAGAAGGAAGCCTGATGGACCCGAGGTTGGACATAGCTGTTGTTGTCCTCTTTAATGTTTTTTTGTGGAATAATAACTTTCAAATTCTCCTGTAACTCCCACATGATAGGAGCTGAAGGACTGTAGTGGTAGTGAGGAGTCTGGGATGTTTCCCAGTTCAAGCACTTTTGCTGGACTCAGTCTTCCTCTAGTGGCCGCTGGTGGAACTGCACCTGAAGGCTTCACTGTGACTCCCTGACAGGTGGAACTTTAGCCTCTCTGAAAGCCTGTTTTCACTCTGCTAGATCTGTTCCCTGATATGTTTTTTAATATGGAAAGCCTACTGGTATGTGAGGACTTTATTTAAAGAAAACTTTAAGATGAATTCATGAAGGCACATAGATGATTAGGAATGTCACAAGTGCTAGTAAAGTAGTAAAAACTGATATAAACAAAAATATGATCCAGATTAAGAAGTCTCAAAACTCTTGCCTACATTGTAATAGGTTACTAGTAACCGTTGATCAATTAATATATGTTATATCAAAAATAATGAATGTTCAGTCAGATGTGCAACAGCCACACTGAGTTAATCTGATCTAAAGTGACTTGTCGAATATTAAAACAACCAACTAACTATAATTAGACTCTGCTGATCTGTAGTAAAACACTGAATTGTTTTATTATGCGAAGCAAGAACATGTGAATTACGTCTCAGTTTCTTCTAAATATGAACAATCACTTGTTCTAGTAATTGTTTTTCATTTGTTGGTACAAAGCAGTTTATTACTTTCAGTCATTTGTGCAGTTGTTGGATGTAATAATATTCATAAATATGAAGGACAGCATCGCTTAGAGAAGTTGATATGAGAGATATTATATAAATGCAGGTATTATTATTTTAGTGGTGGAACACAGGAAGCAGTGTCAAACTGTAATGTGTAATAGCAGCTTCGACAACATGTGAACACAAGTGTTTCCAATGACTCCTATAACTCCTGGATTTTCTCATATTTCTGGAAGACCTATAAGAAATCCATGAATGAATCAGAATACACGAATATTTTTTGTGACAGAGACACA